CAACGAGGTGCTTCCAGGCTTCTAGGGCTGGAGCGGCGCTCTCTTTGTAGGAGCGGATGCCGAGCTGTTCTGCAGGCGACATGTTGCGCAGCAGGACGCTATACGCCATAAGTGACTCACTGTAGTATTGAGCCCGGGCGTCTTCGGTGTTTTCCACCGGTTTAGGATAGGAGCCGTCGAAGTAGTGGTAGATCTGCGCTGTTTGTAGGAGGAGCTCCAGCTCAAAACTCCATGTATAAAAATCCTTGCCGTCAAATGCGGTAGTGGTCTTAATTTTTGACACACTGAGGAAGCGTGCTTGCGCAGAGTTGATTGTCTCGTCGCTTGGACGGGGGGCAGTTGTTGCAGATTTGTCTGAGTCGAGGGAGAAGCCATGCGCGGCGGTATCGCGGCTTTTCGCAGCCGGTTGTCCAGGTTGCACTGGTTGGGAAGTGGTTCCCGCATCGCCTTTGCGCAGTTCTTGGAGTTCTTTCTCCATAGTTGACAGTCGAGCGAATAACTGCTCGAGTGCGGCTGTGCCGATCGTAGTTGTCGCCTCATTTGTCGCAGCCGGGTTGGTTTGTCCTTCGGCCGTTAGATTTGTTTGACCTCCGGATCCTCCGGCCATCTTGGTCTTGGAGCGTGTGCCGCTCGCCAGATTTGGGTTCGGCGAATTTTACGGAAGTGACGTTGCGAAGAATCCCTGAGTAGCTCTCATACCATGTTACAATCTGAAGTGGGACTTAACGAAACAAGGATCGTTCAGGGTTGATCGCAGGTAGTGTTGCAGCGGAAGTAGTGAACTCAGGTCAGAGTGAATGTAAAATGACTGAGATGATAATAGCATGCATACATAGGGTTTATATAGAAATACAAGGGAATGCGAAGCGACCTAGACTAGTCATGTACTCTAAGGGGTACATTCCCTTATTAGAGCGAATTTCAAACCGTGCGGCGCGGGAGTCAGTTTCAAACCTGTTCCCGCTCTTTTCATTTCAAATGTCTCTGCCTGCATCGGTCTTGATCAGGCGGTTGCTGTGTCGCTTCGATTCTTCTGACTCCTCGTCTTCGTACTCGGTAGAGACGTCTCCTGCAGCGTACAGGAATGCCTTTTCATTGAACTTCGTATCGTAACATATGATAACTGACTTATATTCTCTACTTGAACAGTTCAGTTGAAATCATGTTTATTGATGCTTGAATTGTGTCAACTTACTACATTTCACTCCCTACCCAGTTCACAGTGAAAAGCTCTTCCCGCTGTACTTTTGCGAAGCGTAAGGGCGTGTGAGGTCGGATTTGAAATTCAAAAAAAAGTGCGAACTTCGTGTGGTTACCCGTTTCGCCAATATCGCATAGGGCTACGAGCGAAACTTCGTCAACTTTGGGTTTGGCAACATGCGAACTGCAAACTTGAACAAGACTCGAGTTTTAGTTGTGAACGTGCTTCGGCATGTTCACATTCACGTGTGTGATTTCCCGCACGTTCGAGCATCTGGCGAAATGTGCGAGCGACTCACGAGTAGCGACAGTACCACAACGAACTCACCACAGCCTTCGTGTACTGAATGGAGGCCATGTGGCGAGACTCGGGTAACCTACTTTTTAGAACCGGGTAACCTACTTTGTAGAAATGCGGTTCGGTGCGTTTTTACAAGTTCGAATACGCGCACTCGACCTTGTATATGTGTGTGCTTTTCTGCAGTGTTGTGGTCCAGATGTGCGAACCCCGATACAATGAAAGTCGAGTTTGGCTCTACATATGTTCATGTAGCACAACTCGCCCTTAAAATGTAAACTTTCACAAATTCTACCGATCACACGCGCCCTAACGCTCCGTTACTGGATCTTCGCGTGCCCTATATCCAGATGTGACGGCCAACGGTTTGGTAATCCAATGTGGACATGTCCACATTCGTCCGTTTCGCATCCAATAGAATTTGAAATTGAAGCATCACTCTCCCAGCCGACAACGCGAACGAAATCAAACAATGGGGTTCGCGCGTCTCCCCTCCCTATCTTTTCGCCACGTCCGAGGCAAGCTGGCGCTTCTGATTGCCCCAAATGTGCCTCGCCGTACCCACGCGATATCTTTGATTTGTCCGCCAAGTGCGAATCGGTCGGGGTCTCAATGTTTCCCCCCAAATATCCATCGCGAAATTTGCGACCGTTTTTGGGCTTGCAAGTCTACACAGCTGGCGGCGCCAAGAAACACCCTCCCTCACCCGACACAAGCTTTTAATCACGAGACGACATCCATTCTCATTTACTCTCCTATTTAGTCCCTGAGCGGCTTGTCCAGTGCAACGTATGTTCGATAGGCTCCCAGCACTCACCCTTGAAAGAAAGCTGCTCGAGTGATCCGCCTCAAACCCGAACAATAAGTGGTCTCTTCTAACGATGGCTCGTACACAAGATCTGTGCTTCCCTGGTATTGCATTCGACCAACTCAAGCCTAACCTTGGTCCTCCTTTCTCGTTACGATTTCCCGCATCCCGTTTCCAGATTTGATTTCAAAATACCCAAGGCCTTACTCTGCATGCACCTCTCAAAACACGCTAATGCTGCCCTTCTCCTCCTTCGTTTTTCTTTCCGCCAATGCTACTTCTCCAGGCTTTCTCCTTCTCCTCTCGTTCGTCGTCGCGTCACATGCGCAAGGCTTCGGAGGAAGTGGAATCTCGGCGTTCGTCCCCTTTCCAGGAGTCCAAAAGTGTAGGTCGCCGATGGTGCCCTATGTTGCCCGCACTCCCCCGCGTTGAAAGTCTATTTCGCCTGTCAGCAGCCAGCCAGAGTTTCATGACTTTCGGCAGCGCACCTTTGCGAGTATTCACCGGGTTACAAACTCGCACGCATGATTGACGGAGCATTGCACCTGCTTGTGCAGTGAATCACGCTTCGTGTCCCTCGCACGTCTTTCGAACCCCGCCCGCTCGGTTCATGCTGCAGGTGTCCTTATATCGGGTATGGAGCCCAACAAGATTCTGCAGTACCATCCGCTCGGTGACATCAGAGCGAACGGCAATCTCCGCATCACCGTGTACCAGTGAGTTTCCGCATCACCGTGTACCTGTGAGTTTCCGCATCACCGTGTACCAGTGAGTTTTCGCATCACCGTGTACCAGTGAGTTTTCGCATCACCGTGTACCAGTGAGTTTTCGCATCACCGTGTACCAGTGAGTTTTCGCATCACCGTGTACCAGTGAGTTTTCGCATCACCGTGTACCAGTGAGTTTCCGCATCACCGTGTACCAGTGAGTTTCCGCATCACCGTGTACCAGTGAGTTTCCGCATCACCGTGTACCAGTGAGTTTCCGCATCACCGTGTACCAGTGAGTTTCCGCATCACCGTGTACCAGTGAGTTTCCGCATCACCGTTTACCAGTGAGTTTCCGCATCACCGTTTACCAGTGAGCTTCCGCATCACCGTGCACCAGTGAGTTTCCGCATCACCGTGCACCAGTGAGTTTCCGCATCACCGTGCACCAGTGAGTTTCCGCATCACCGTGCACCAGTGAGTTTCCGCATCACCGTGCACCTTTGAGTTTCCGCATCACCGTGTACCAGTGAGTTTCCGCATCACCGCAGGTGTCCTTTTATAACATCTCTCGATATACCTCATTATCCACATCTCATCCCAGCGTGCTCATGATAATGGCTTTTCTCTGATTCCGTGTCTCCTGCCGTTTTTCTCCCCGCAGAATGCAAGGCCGGATCAACTTGAAGCTCAAACTCGACGCCGACTATCTCACCGGCGCGCTGCCGCCGAAAAACATCACCGTCTACGACTCGCGCTCCGGCGGCGCGCTGGGTCTCCCCGTGTTCGGCGTGACGGGGAGATGGCAGGCGAATCCGACTCACGGAGAGGTTCTTCTGCGCACGTGGATTCTGGACGCCGCCAACAAATATCCTCCGGGTTCCACGCTGTCGTACTACGACCTGATTCGCCAGATTGATCTGAGCCCGCGAAGCTTCTTTGCGTCGCTCACTACGGAGAGGTACAAGTGGGGCGCGCTAAGGGGGAGGTTTGTCCGTGGCGCCGTCAACATGATGATCCCAGTGCCTGTGTGCTAAGCAATAGCAAAGAGTCGCCCAGCAGAGGTAGCAGGGGCTTGGGATACGCTGGGAGGCCCATGAAACCACTGCTCGTATGGGATTCCATTCATTGTGGGTGATGGCAGGCCCAGCAATAAAGTTAATTTGACTACACCAGCGGTGGTGCTCGTGCTGAATATCTCAATATTTAGAAACTACAGATGTACTCAGAATGCTAATAATCATAGCGCGACTTTAGTAGCTTAACGCCAAATATTATTATTCTTCCGCAGATCTCATGAACTGCGATAGGGAAATTCATGTGCTCTCGTGGAGCCAAAACGTTGTTGTGAAACACGTCCTTTATGCTTATGTTGATATCGTAAACATGTAGAAATGCCTTCCTATTTCAACATTTCCAGAACCAATCAGATTTTTCAACCAATCAAGCTACCTCTTCAATAAAACGGGCTGGCGTCGCGTCCAACATCCCCTCACTTCCGTCACTTGCGGCGCCCCGTCGCACGTCGCTGGTGATCCCCACAGGTTGTTGCTCTCGAGACGCGTACAGAAGATGGCAACATTTTGTCGGGAAGTCTTCTCTGTACATTACTCGGGCGCATTCGATCAAAATGGGGCAAATTCAAGAACAAGGGACCTCATGACGTATTCCTAGCTTCGGGTCATCCGGTGTTTGTGTCATCCAAGAATTGTGGTAGCCAATTGGAAAACCCCGCGGTTCGGAATTTGATTTTTTCTATTGGATACCGCAAATTTCGGATGACATGAAGCCGGGATGACCCGAAGCCAAGAATACGCCCTAGTCATCCTCCTTGAACACTCCCTCCCAACCCAACAACACCACAGCTTGAAATCGTAGCCCAGAACACACAACTCATACAGCTTTGTGTCGTCTGGACAACTGGTACACCATCCGTTCTATCCCTCGCAATTGAAGCTCTATATTCTCTTCTGAAGGCCTTGGAAAAATGGTTCTGTTGCGGAACGTGTTACTGCCAGGTGCGTTCTCTGTTCTCCGTTTCTCCTAGCCTGTCTCTCCAAGACTAGTTGTCTCCCATTGCTTCTCCGTGTGACAACTAGCTTTGCATTTGTCTGATACATTCCTTCCAGCTTCACTAATCTTTTGTCAGTGTTTGGTTATTTAACGCATTTTCCCCTCCCAACCGTTCCCGAACGTCTACAGGTCTTCTCGTTTTATCGCTCGTCGCTACCACACACGCCCAGAGCCTCGCCGCGTTCCTCCCTTTCCCCGGCCTCCCTCGATGTACGTCCTCCAGTGTCCAAGATTGTTGCAAAGATTGTCGCTACAATTGTCGCAAAGATTGTCCCTACGCCTGTCGCACGGCTGTCGCCACTGCTGCGCCACGCATATTCTTCACATGCCTCTCCTTGTGTCTTTCAACAGTCTCCATAGCTCAAACACTTCCCCACCTCATACCCGTTACAACTCTTTCATTCCAGGTGTGCTTATAGCGGGTCTGGAGCCGAATAAAGTGCTCAAGTACCATCCTCTGGGCGACATTGGAGCGACGGGCACTCTCCGCATCTCCGTCTTTCAGTAAGTTGTAAAGACTGAGGTTGTGCTATCGCTCGATGTTATCTAAAGTGACGTGTTCACCTTTCTTTAAACTTTTGCAGTTGCGAGCAACAATTCGGAAATTTGATGCAATCTCGTTGTTTGCCACCTCCGCTCACACACCCCAGTCTCACGATGCAAGGAAAGAACAACCTTAAGCTCCTTCTTTTATAAGTTTTTTTTTCATTGTATGTTCATCCCCAATTCTAGGATGCAAGGGAAGATTAACCTCAAGTTCAAGGTCGACAGCACCAGTCTCTCTGGCCCGCTCCCCCCGCGCAACATCACCCTCTTCGACGCGCGCTCGGGCGGCGCCACGGGTCTTCCGATCTTCGGGCTCAACGGCAAGTGGACGTCCGACCCCGTGACGTCGCAGATCTCGCTGCGCACGTGGATCATGGACGCGGGGAATAAGTTCCCGCCGGGGTCGACGGTTTCCTACTACGATCTGGTGAAGCAGGTCGATTTGAGTCCGCGCAGCTTCTTCGGGTCGGTGACAACAGAAAGGTATAAGTGGGGTGCTGTAAGGGGAAGGTTCCAACGTGGCGCTGTGAATATGATAGTACCTGTGCCCATGTGCTGAGCTTGGTGGTAGAGGTCTTGGCGAAACACTTCCTAGCTGCTACATAGCTGTTTATTAGGGTTCCTACTTTTTCTTGGTCAAGCACATTGCTTGGTATCTAACATCAATAATAAATATTTGCATAGAGAGCCATGGTGAGCCGACGAGCTTCCATCCCAATGACTGTTTCCAGATTTAGAACATTCAAACTTCCAAGTGTTACGGTATGACAGAGAGCGAGAATAGGGGTGATTTAGAAAATGCCAGTTCAAATGATGAACACATAACGATATGCAGTGCTAGTAGTTATCATCCTGCAACTGCAGGTTGCTTATATTTGTCTTTCAGAATGGTGTTGTGAAATGAATGATGTATCCTACTAAAGAATATTACAGTAGCGCGTGTAACTGGCTTCAGCTCGCTGGGTGTGAGTTTGTCGCATCAAGTCGCGCAGTGTACGACTTTGATCAGCATCAGTTTTCAGTACGTGGTCTGGTTCACTGACTTTCGCCAGCGGGTTCTGTTTCGTCATGCGTGCCGACAAACGCTTCTCTCCCAAACCACCCACCCACCCACACGCCAATGATCCCAGAATGCGTCGATGGCCTGCGACGTGCGAAGAGTGGCTGAGCTGGGTGGGAGCATCGCACACTGGGCTTCGCCATCGCGTCGCGTCGGTAACGATGGGCGCGAATTCTTTTCAATTTCAGTTGGGAGGGAGCCGAATTTCGTCGAATTCCTCTCACCACCCAACCGACATCCATCAACACCAAATTCACCTATGCTTGGTGCAGCAACCCACCGCCATTTTCTGGTTCAACACAACGCTTCCCTTCTAGCACTCCCGCCGCCTCTTCCGCACATCAAGATAACACAACAGGCAGATTGAATGTTGGGATACTACGCTCAGAGCATAGCCCGTTTCTGGTTAAATTGCTTGCATTACGCTACTTCGTCCTCGTTACGATCACACAGAGAAGCTGCCACTGATTCACAGATGGCGTTTTTAGTCAATCGCACCTTTCCAGGTAACATGAGGGAATCGGTTTTCGTACTGCAATCCGTGACGCCAGTGAAAAATAGTTGTTATGGCCGTCCTTGCAGTCGGGAAAATGAGAGACTGAATGCCGTCCTTGCAGTCGGGAAAATGAGTCACTGAATGCCGTCCTTGCAGTCGGGAAAATGAGTCACTGAATGCCGTCCTTGCAGTCGGGAAAATGAGTCACTGAATGCCGTCCTTGCAGTCGGGAAAATGAGTCACTGAATGCCGTCCTTGCAGTCGGGAAAATGAGTCACTGAATGCCGTCCTTGCAGTCGGGAAAATGAGTCACTGAATGCCGTCCTTGCAGTCGGGAAAATGAGTCACTGAATGCCGTCCTTACAGTCGGGAAAATGAGTCACTGAATGCCGTCCTTACAGTCGGGAAAATGAGTCACTGAATCCCGCCATTCATCAGAATTCTCTGCTATGCTGTGATCAACAGGTTTGCTTCTTCTACTATTGCTCTTCGCCGCTACATCCGCCGCTACAACCGCCGCAGTCGGACCCATAAGAGGAGCCGTTCCACCGCCGGGCATTTTGCAATGTATTTCACCTACCCGCACACACACGTTTGTTTAGGTCGACTGAAAAACACACATCCATCTGCCTACTCATGCAAGAATCTCATCTGCTTCCTGTTTGACCAAGAATCCGATTCTTTGGGACAGATTGGGGACCACGCAATTTTTGTACGAGTCGTATGCATTTAAAAATCTCCACGTGTTTTCTTACCTTTTCCCTCGTTTCCGTTTTGTCGGTCTCCCTTGCGCCTCATACACCCATGTCCTCGCACCACTGTTGACACCGCTGTCTCACGTCTCTGCGTCCTCCTTGAATGTGACACGAAAATATGTTACAACTTTTTATCTTGCCAGTGGCCCATCCAATCTCATGTTATGCAACATCGCATCATCATAATCAACTTCCGTTACTGTCACTTCTCTGTTTGCCGCACTCGCCGTTGTCACACGCAGGTAGCTTGCGGGTTGACCTGAAGAGCAACGAAGTCATCAGCTCGTCGCTCGGCGGAGACCTCGGCGGCACTGGCGACCTAAACATCTACGTGTACAAGTAAGAAAGCATGTACGTCCACATTTTACAGCCTAAACATCTACGTGTACAAGTAAGTAGGCATCTACCATCACATTCTTTAGGTTGACTTTTGAGTTGACTCGGAAAACATCAGCTCGTCGCTCGGCGGAGACCTCGGCGGCACTGGCGACCTCAATATCTACGTCTACAAGTAAAGGCACATGCTTCTGAAAAGTGAACTCGTCTCTCGGCGGCACTGGCGACCTAAACATCTACGTCTACAAGTAAGAAAGCATATACGTCCACAATTTACAGCTTAAACATCTACGTGTACAAGCAAGAATGCACTAATAATTCATGTCTACAGCATCATTCACGACTCGATATCTACGTATAAGATTACAAGCAGATTCTTCTCGATTACTTGCTGCAGGGATACATCTACATGAGCCGTGTTTTGAGTCGACTCAAAACACGACTCTACATTCGTTCTGAGACGTCTGAAAAGAAACTTGTTCTCTCGGGACCTGGGTGGCACTCGCGACCTTGACTTCGATGTCTAGAAGTGCTGCTGCTGGCGATACATTCTTTCGATGTCTAGAAGTGCTGCTGCTGGCGATACATTCTTTCGATGTCTAGAATTGCTGCTGCTGGCGATACATTCTTCTCGAATCATTATGATAATCCCTATGAATGCCATCCCTGCCCACCACACCCACCCGTTTTCTCAGTCCGTGCAACCATGCGTCGTCGACGCCTTGTCAATCCTTCGGGCCTTGTCATCCCGATTGCTTTACCCCATGCCTCTCCCTACATTAGCTCCCCCTAAACACTGATCTTTGTCCCTCTGTGACTGCGGCCGCTTCCCTCGTGCTCTTTACGGGCTCCGCAGGTATCAAGGCGGGTTGGATGTCCACATCAGCTACAACACGCACCAGCTCTCCCTCCCAATGCCGCCTCCCAACCAATCCATCAACCTCGGGACACGTGGCACGAACGGTGACGTGGCCTGGAACATCGAAGGCACGTGGACGCAACGAAATGAGGATCAGTTGGAGCTGAAACGCATTTACAAGCGCGCTCCACAAGTCATCATCCCCGGTACAAGCATATCCGTTTACAAGATGGTGAAAATGATTGACCAAAATCCAGCTGATTACTACGCAACAATTTCTACGGACATGTATCCCGAGGGAGCAATCCGCGGGCAGTTCTTGCGCAGATTTCCTGGGCCTAGATGTTAGAAGCTAACCACTGCAAGTGGACCGTCACATGTTACAAAGTGTACCTTGTAAGTTGTAACTAAACAGTCAATACAAAGTGTGGTTTGGAGGGGAGAGGTGGTTGGTTGGGTCTAGGAGGGTTGGTGGTTGGTGGGTCGCCTCCCTCTGTCGCCTCACTCCTCTTATCGCCTCCCCTCTGTCGCTGGCTGGCTCTCTCACCTCCTGGCTCTGCCATCTCCCCCCTCTGGTTGCCTTCCTCCATTGGACAGAGCTTAGATGTAAAGGCATGTTCAGATGTGCAAAGTATTTTTATTAATTTATTTATTTTTTGGTCGGGTTTCGTAGCATTGAGACAATATTTGAGTGGCTAACTAGCAGAGCCTACCAAAGCCACTCTATTGCAAACCCTATTGGTAAACTATTCAATTTGCCATGGCAAAAACCGAAGCCAAAGAAGAGTAGCCTTTCTGAGTGAAAACAGGCTATGAAGGCCATGGTAATGGTGATGCGGGGGTAGTCTTTCTTCCCATTACAACCTTTCGTATACCACATAGCCTTACAGTTTTCGTGTAGGTTTGCCAAATGATGTGATGCTGGTTCACTGTAAAGCGGTCAACTACAGCGAAGTAGTTCCCAAGTACCACATAAAGCGAGTTTCGGATTGCGAGGATGCACACCTGGGAGTTGCCTTGCCAGCTTGAGAGTCTCCCAGCCTTGGGAGTGTCTGCTGGATAAACCTCCGTGTCACTACAACAAGTACCTCTCGAGTTCGCATTTTGCCACGCTTTCTCACCGTCGGGAAGGGTCATCTCTTTTTGCCACATTTTCCGATTCCGTGGCTAGTGTTAGTAGAAGCAACAGCAACAGCAGCAGCAACAGCAGCAGCAGCCATAGCTTCGCCGTGCTTCCCCGCACGCGTGCATTTGTTCGTGCCTAACGGCTTAATTCTGAAAACAGCTCGAACTTCCGCGGATCTTAATTACCAACCCTAATGGCACACGCTGTTTCATGTTCGCGGGTTCCTGCTGCCACGCAATTTTGCATTCAATCCAAAGCTAGGCCGAACGATTGCCAAACCTGCGATGGCTGCACTCGGTCCCCTAGCCTCTGCGGAGCTTCGGCGTCCGTTACATTCGGTGCATCTGGTCAATCGAGCGCGGCATTGTTGTATTCACCTGCGCTTCGACCGATGCGTGGCGGCCCGCGTGGACACGCGAGGTTGGGTTCGTCGGGAGGTTCGCGCCGTCTGGTTTGTCGAAACGCGTTGCTGGAAGACGAATCGGACGGAGAAAGGTGAGGCGACGGAATCCGTCAGTGGGTTGACTCCCGTCAACTTGATTTCAGCCAGCGTGTTAACTACGAGTCGGAAGAGGGTAGGTGAGACGACAGGGAAAAGTGAGGCGACAGAATTCGTCAGTGGTAAGACTTATTCGAGGTGCTTCCAGCCAGTGTGTTCTGAGGTCGACTCTGACGAGTATAGGTTAGACGACGGAATCCGTCAATATTTTCCAATCGAACTATTTCCAGCCAGTGTGGGAATGAGAACGAGTCGGACGGGGTTAGGTGAGAGGCGACGGGATGAGTACGCGTGCGCGCATTGGAGCGAACGACCGCCGCTGCAATACGGACACTACGTAACTCCCTATGCGAAGTAGCTCAGTGATTGTGCGGCAACCGAGACGAGCGTTCACTGCAGCGAATTAGTGATTCAAATGACAAGCCCTCCCCCATCCAACCCCCTTTCCCTCGCCTGCATTTCCCCCTTGCATCGCCAGGGAAGCAGCAGCGAAGAAAGCTGTGCCGGGAGCCAAGCCCGGGAGCAGCAGGAGCTGGCAGGAAATCACCGTGTCGGATGCTGCTTTCTTTGAAATTTCTCCCAATCCTTCCCCCATCCAACCCCCTTCCCCCGCTCGCATTCCCCCTGTAGCGCCAGGCAAGCAGCAGCGAAGAAAGCAGTGCCGGGCACCAAACCTGGCAGCAGCAGGAGCTCGCAGGAGACGACCGCGTCTGCTGCTGCTCTCTCTCATACTCCCTTCAAATCCTCCCCTTTTACCCCTTTTCGCATTCCCTCCCTGTAGCGCCAGGGAAGCAGCAGCGAAGAAGGCAGTGCCGGGCACCAAACCTGGCAGCAGCAGGAGCTGGCAGGAGACCACCGCATCGGCTGCTGCTGTAGCCGCCCTTCTGGACAGCGCTACAGGCGGCAGCGGAGCAGGAAAGGCTCCAACTGCGTCTGCTGCGAGTGCTGCTGCCACAGGCGGCTCTGCTACAGCCGGTGCTGCAGGGGGTTCCGCTACAGGCGGTGCAGCAGCAGCGGGGCCAGCGGCAGCGGCGGTGGGCGAGTTCTGCATCATAGAAGGTCCGGACGCCCTGCAGGACTTTGCCCGCATGCAGCTCACTGAAATCCGCGACAACATCACGTCTCGGCGCAACCGGATCTTCTTGATGCTGGAAGAGGTGAGTCAAAGAAGGGGGAACAGAGGGGAAAGGATGATGGTGGTGGTGGGCGCTGCAGGGCTTTGCTCGCGTGCAGCTCACAGAGATCCGTGATAACACCACCTCCCGCCGCACCGGATCTTCTTGCTGCTGGAAGAGGTGAGTGAGACGACGAGGGGAAGGGCTGTGAGGTGGAAAGGGGGGAAAGGCATGCAGCTGACAGGGGGGTTGTGAGGGAAGGGGAAACGGCATGCTGCTGCTGCTGCTGCTGCTGCTACTGCTGTGGCACCGGTGGTTTCTGAGAAGGTGGGGTGGGCAAAAGACTTGCTGCTGCTGCTGCCTTTATCCCCTTAATAACCAGATTTGCCAGTCCACATCCAGCAGAGGATCAAGAAATCAGAGGAGAGCTGATCATTAAGTCGTTAGAAAACCCATTTGGTTTGTCGCTCCTCTTTTTGTCCCCCTTATAACCAGATTCGCCGGCTGCGCATTCAGCAGGAGATCAAGAACGCAGAGGAGAGCCGCAACAGAGCAGCAGCAGCGGCTGCACGGGCGAAATTGGGGGGCCTGCCAGTGGAGGAGGAGGAGGAAATGCCGGAATATCCCTCCTCAATTCCCTTCCTGCCGCCACTTGTGAGTCGCCTGAGATGTTTGTGAGTTGACTCACACATCAGCCACACGGGCGAGACTGGGAGGCCTGCCAGTGGAGGAGGAGGAGGAGGAGGAAATGCCGGAATATCCCTCCTCCATCCCCTTCCTGTGAGTGCTGTATCGAAAGAACCTCGTGAGTCTTTCTGTGTGAGTGAGGCCTCCGGTAACACAGAAGCAGCAGTAACACAGAAGCAGCAGTAACACAGAAGCAGCAGTAACACAGAAGCAGCAGTAACACAGAAGCAGCAGTAACACAGAAGCAGCAGTAACACAGAAGCAGCAGTAGCTGCAGGGGCGAAATTGGGGGGCCTGCCAGTGGAGGAGGAGGAGGAAATGCCTGAATACCCCTCTTTGATCCCCTTCCTGCCGCCTCTTGTGAGTCGCCTGAGATTTTTGTGTGTTGACTTGGTGAGTTGACTCACACATCAGCCACACGGGCGAAGCTGGGGGGCCTGCCAGTGGAGGAGGAGGCGGTGCCAGAATACCCCTCCTCGATTCCGCTCCTTCCCCCGGTTTCGAGTGTTCAAATATGAAGAGTGGCAGAGTGGCAGCCTTCTTCATAATCGAGTGTTCAAATATGAAGGAATATCATTTCGAGTGTTTCAGATGGTGGGAAGAGTGGCAGTGGAGCGCAAAGAGGGGGAGGCGATGCCAGAGTACCCCTCCTTCACCTCCAGAAGCTAACCTCCTCTTGTGACCGTTTCTTTGTCTGTTGCTGCCTCTGTCTCTGCGTCTCTTTCGTATTTCTATTTCTTTTGGAGAAAACGGACACTCCCAAAGAGTGTTATATCACCTTCGCCTTCCTTGTTGCCAGCCTCACGTGACTTCCCTCCCTTGCTTCCACCGCTTCCCTTTCCTCGTGCCTCCTCCCCCTTGGATGACCACAGAACACGGACACCCTCAAGGAGTATTACCTCAGGTCCGCCTTCCTCGTGTCACTTACCTCCTGATTCCTCTTCTTTCTTCGTATGACCTTCCTTTTGGTTCCCTTATCCCCCTTGAACGACCACAGAAAACGGACACCCTCAAGGAGTATTACATCACGTTCGCCTTCCTTGTTGCCAGCCTCACGTGACTTACCTCTCTCGATCCCACCGCTTCCCTTTCCTCGTGCCCCCTCCCCACTGCACAACCACAGAAAACGGACACCCTCAAGGAGTATTACATCACGTTCGCCTTCCTTGTTGCCAGCCTCATCATCTTCGGTGGCCTTGTTGCTCCCACTGTAAGGCAGACGCAGTTTGCGTTCAGGGAATGCACTTTTTATGGGGGCACATGCAGTGTTCTTTATTGTTGCCAGCCTCATCATCTTCGGTGGCCTAGTCGCACCCACTGTAAGTGGGGTGTACTTGTAGTGGGTTGTGCTGTAAGGGGGATGCACTGTTCATGGGTTGCACTGTAAGGAAGATGCATACTTTATTGGATGCCTGTTCAATTGCCTTACTGGTTGCCAGACTCATCATCTTTGGCGGCCTTGTTGCGCCCAGCCCACTGTAAAGGGGATGTAGTGTTTGTGGGTTCGGCATTCTAAAAGGGCACTGTTGATTTATTGACGCACATGCACTGTTTGTTACTGCCCCTTTCTCCCCCTTCCCAACTTTTCTGTCCCTTAATGAAGCCTTTTTACTCTATTCTTCATCCACTCTTTTCCTCCCTCCCCCCTTCCCCTCCCTCTCTCCCTCCCACCCTCCCTTCCCTCATTTCCCGTCTCATCCCATCAGCTGCAACTGCGACTGGGCATGGGTGGGACGTCCTATGAGGATTTCATTGCCAGCATGCACCTTCCACGCCAGCTCAGGTGAGAGGCCCTGCTGCCGCCATAGCAGCATACGCCCTCTCAGGTAAGCTTGTGGGCTGGTTGTGGCTGAGAAGGCAGAGAAGGGGAGGGTGGGTGAGAGGGGGCACGGCTCTGGTGGGTGAGAAGGGGCACATGAGGGCTAGTGGGGAAGGGAGAAGGTAACCGTTACCATGCACACTCACTCTTCACGCACAGCCTCCCTCTCGACGCTCCTCTGTTGTTACCCTCCCACCACCGCCAATTGGGCCGCTTCATAATAGCCTCCTTCACAGGGGGGGCGGTGGGCGTGCTGGGGGGCGCGGTGGGGGTGCTAATAGCCTTCTTCAAAGGGGGCGCGGTGGGGGTGCTAATAGCCTTCTTCAAAGGGGGCGCGGTGGGGGTGCTAACAGCCTTCTTCAAAGGGGGCGCGGTGGGGGTGCTAATAGCCTTCTTCAAAGGGGGCGCGGTGGGGGTGCTAATAGCCTTCTTCAAAGGGGGCGCGGTGGGGGTGCTAATAGCCTTCTTCAAAGGGGGCGCGGTGGGGGTGCTAATAGCCTTCTTCACAGGGGGCGCGGTGGGGGTGCTAATAGCCTTCTTCAAAGGGGGCGCGGTGGGGGTGCTAATAGCCTTCTTCAAAGGGGGCGCGGTGGGGGTGCTAATAGCCTTCTTCACAGGGGGCGCGGTGGGGGTGCTAATAACCTTCTTCACAGGGGGCGCGGTGGGGGTGCTAATAGCCTTCTTCAAAGGGGGCGCGGTGGGGGTGCTAATAGCCTTCTTCAAAGGGGGCGCGGTGGGGGTGCTAACAGCCTTCTTCACAGGGGGCGTGGTGGGGGTGCTAATAGCCTTCTTCAAAGGGGGCGCGGTGGGGGTGCTAACAGCCTTCTTCAAAGGGGGCGCGGTGGGGGTGCTAACAGCCTTCTTCAAAGGGGGCGCGGTGGGGGTGCTAATAGCCTTCTTCAAAGGGGGCGCGGTGGGGGTGCTAATAGCCTTCTTCAAAGGGGGCGCGGTGGGGGTGCTAATAGCCTTCTTCACAGGGGGCGCGGTGGGGGTGCTAATAGCCTTCTTCACAGGGGGCGCGGTGGGGGTGCTAATAGCCTTCTTCACAGGGGGCGCGGTGGGGGTGCTAATAGCCTTCTTCACAGGGGGCGCGGTGGGGGTGCTAATAGCCTTCTTCAAAGGGGGCGCGGTGGGGGTGCTAATAGCCTTCTTCAAAGGGGGCGCGGTGGGGGTGCTAATAGCCTTCTTCAAAGGGGGCGCGGTGGGGGTGCTAATAGCCTTCTTCAAAGGGGGCGCGGTGGGGGTGCTAATAGCCTTCTTCAAAGGGGGCGCGGTGGGGGTGCTAATAGCCTTCTTCAAAGGGGGCGCGGTGGGGGTGCTAATAGCCTTCTTCACAGGGGGCGCGTTGGGGATGCTAATAGCCTTCTTCACAGGGGGCGCGGTGGGGGTGCTAATAGCCTTCTTCACAGGGGGCGCGGTGGGGGTGCTAATAGCCTTCTTCACAGGGGGCGCGGTGGGGGTGCTAATAGCCTTCTTCAAAGGGGGCGCGGTGGGGGTGCTAATAGCCTTCTTCACAGGGGGCGCGGTGGGGGTGCTAATAGCCTTCTTCACAGGGGGCGCGGTGGGGGTGCTAATAGCCTTCTTCAAAGGGGGCGCGGTGGGGGTGCTAATAGCCTTCTTCAAAGGGGGCGCGGTGGGGGTGCTAATAGCCTTCTTCAAAGGGGGCGCGGTGGGGGTGCTAATAGCCTTCTTCACAGGGGGCGCGGTGGGGGTGCTAATAGCCTTCTTCAAAGGGGGCGCGGTGGGGGTGCTAATAGCCTTCTTCAAAGGGGGCGCGGTGGGGGTGCTAATAGCCTTCTTCACAGGGGGCGCGGTGGGGGTGCTAATAGCCTTCTTCACAGGGGGCGCGGTGGGGGTGCTAATAGCCTTCTTCACAGGGGGCGCGGTGGGGGTGCTAATAGCCTTCTTCACAGGGGGCGCGGTGGGGGTGCTAATAGCCTTCTTCACAGGGGGCGCGGTGGGGGTGCTAATAGCCTTCTTCACAGGGGGCGCGGTGGGGGTGCTAATAGCCTTCTTCAAAGGGGGCGCGGTGGGGGTGCTAATAGCCTTCTTCAAAGGGGGCGCGGTGGGGGTGCTAATAGCCTTCTTCAAAGGGGGCGCGGTGGGGGTGCTAATAGCCTTCTTCACAGGGGGCGCGGTGGGGGTGCTAATAGCCTTCTTCAAAGGGGGCGCGGTGGGGGTGCTAATAGCCTTCTTCAAAGGGGGCGCGGTGGGGGTGCTAATAGCCTTCTTCACAGGGGGCGCGGTGGGGGTGCTAATAGCCTTCTTCAAAGGGGGCGGGGGTGCTAATAGCCTTCTTCAAAGGGGGCGCGGTGGGGGTGCTAATAGCCTTCTTCACAGGGGGCGCGGTGGGGGTGCTGTCAGCGCTGCTGGTGGTGGAGGTGAAGGTGCCTTCACTAATGGTCCCTGCCTCCTCCCTCCCACTCATTCCCCTCCTCCCCCTCCTGCAGCGAAGTGGACCCCATAGTGTCCTCCATTCACAGGGGGGGTGGTGGGTGTGTGCTGTCAGCACTGCCACTTCTGAACACTGCTTTTCCCCCCATGCCGTCCCCTATTGTGCTCTCATAACATTCCTTCCTGCTGCAGCCAAGTAGACCCCATAGTGGCGTCCTTCACGGGGGGGCGCAGGGGGTGCTGTCAGCACTGCTGGTGGTGGAGGTGGTCCCTCCGCTGCTGCTAGTGGAGCCTCTTTCTTTCCCCTCATGCCATCCCCTCCTGTCAATACCTCCCACCACAGCCAAGTGGATCCCATAGTCGCCTCCTTCACGGGAGGGGCGGTGGGCGTGCTGTCAGCGCTGCTGGTGGTGGAGGTGAACAACGTGAAGCAGCAGGAGCACAAGCGCTGCATGTACTGCCATGGCTCAGGTGTGTGTGTGTGTGTGTGATGTGATAGGGACACCAACTTTGTCTACCTCTTGTTTCAGTAAGGAGCACAAGCAGCGCATGTGCTGGTATGCGTGAGTGCCTTTTGAGTCGACTCTAGAGTCACTGTGTTGGTCCTGTCAGCACTGCTGGTGGTGGAGGTGAACAACGTGAAGCAGCAGGAGCACAAGCGCTGCATGTACTGCCATGGATCAGGTATGTCTGTCTGTGTTATTTGCTCATGCATCCCATGCATTGACCTCCTCCCTTGGAGGAGTCAACAGAGTTCATGGCAGAGCTCTGTTGACTTCTGTTGACTTCTGTTGACTTTTGTTGAAACTTTTCAACCATTCACCCCATCAACCCCTCCCCCGGTCTCTAGGCTACCTGGCCTGTGCGCGCTGCTCTGCCACGGGCTCGCTCATAGACGTTCAGCTGAAAGGCGGAGGAGCAAGTGTACGTCCTTTGACTCTGTACGCCCTTTTTCTCCCCTTCATCTCCAGGCTACCTGGCCTGTGCGCGTTGCTCGGCCGCAGGCTCGCTCATAGACGTGCAGCTGGTGGGGAGGGATGGGTGGGGCCAAGTTCTTCCTTTGACTCTGTTGACTTATGTTGAATCCTCCTCTGTTCTTCCTGCTTCCAGGCTACCTGGCGTGTGCACGCTGCTCTGCCACGGGCTCTCTCATCGACGTGCAGCTGGAGGGGGAGGGATCAGCAGAAGGCGGAGCTGCAGTGGCAGGAGGGGGTGCTGTTGCCAATGGGGCGCTGGCAGCAGCAGCAGGGGGAGCAGGAGGAGCAGAGGGAGCGGTTGGTGGTGGGCGGCAAGGCGTGAAGGTAGCCAAGCGGTGTCCGAATTGTGCTGGCCTGCGCAAGGTGAGTGGGGGAGTGGGCGTGGAAGAGGGTAGCGGGCTTTCGGTTGATGGCTGAGGTTTCACAGGGAACCAGGCATGACGGTGGTGAGAGATATTGATTCCCTCTTGTTGGTTTCCCTCGCTTCGCACGTTTTGAAGATATTCATTCAGCCGTACGTAACGCCTGTCGTTCTTGTCGTGTCGTTCATCCGTTCCCTGCCCTTCTTCCTTTGCCACACCAGGTCATGTGCCCTACTTGTTTGTGCACGGGAATGGCACTCGCCACAGAGCACGATCCGCGTATCAACCCTTTTGAGTGATAGGCCCATTTTTTGTCGCATGCACATTCTAATGTCCGGATACGTTAGAAACTACATGATCTAATATTCAAAGTTGGGCGTGTTGATGTACTTGCACCAAAAAGAACACGCTTCCATCTTTGTAACACACTCATCATATGACTTTTGGGTCTGCTTCTTTAGAGCGCATCCATGTTGGGGTTCGGCTTGTCCGATGTGGACCTTGCCATTTTTCCTTGTGGCGAAGGCGATCCAGTCGGTTCGGATCGGGGGAATGGTGGTCAATGTTGGTAGGGTGTGCCAGCGCGACCACAGCTTCTCAAATTCCATTGGCCCTGCAGAACAAGCACGTGAAACTCCTTCGCGCTGGGCTCATCGAATCTCATCGCAGATATCTATCGCTACAGTAATGGCGGTGAGAGTGTCTCTTTCTTATCATATCACTACAGTTCAAAATCGTCCATTTGCACGGGCGAGGAACAGTTGTTTCTTGTGGCAGATGGGTCGAAAGACTGGGTGCATTGTGATTCGTGAATCGATCGGATAGAGTTTTCGAATTGAAACCGCACCAGCACCGTGCGCCACGGATTGGCTGCAGATTTGGTTACATTTCATGTCAGGTCAGGTTGCCTGATGTTCTGGGCAGAACTCGCTCACACGTAGTACACTAGAGACTCTTACAAAAGTGCTAGGACCAGAATTTGCTTTTCGCGCCACTAATGTTGTAAATTGCTCCAAACAATATACGCGATCCGCTATGGGCCTCCACGGCGCAAATCTGCCAGCGCGATTCGTACCACCTGTCCTCTCGAAATTCCAATTTCCCCAATCCCCCATACACAGAATTGCCTTCACTGCAAAGCTGATCCTCTTCAATGCATCAGCAAATTCCATGTGCTCCAAGATCCATTTCAGTTTCTTCTCCATATCTCGTGATTTTCCCCCTCCATTCCATGAACGTGAAGTCACCGCCTTTTCGCCCAAATCCAGCAAACCAGCTCAGGAAAATCACGAGCTGGAGCTTGATGCAGCGAAGAGACGCATCAGCCGCAGTAAGCGCAGTACGACGCTATGATTCCTTGTGGCCGCGGCATATGCGACCAATAAGATTGAGGGTGACACTTGCCGCCCGTCACCCCACGGGTGGTCATTCCGACTTGCCATGCCATCGTCGTTTCTGTGCAACTCTCACTGCAACGCCTGTCCTGCTCGCACAGTTCTCACTAGCTTCGTTACTGAGGCGCGATGACGATCCACGATGGCCAAGAGTCGCGAGTCAGCGACGAGATGATCCCTTCTAACATGGGAAGACAGCGAGGGGCAAAGCAGTCCAGAGACTGGTAGCAGTCCAGTAACAGACTATTAACGATGCTCATAAGATGGTAGTTTGTTTTGCAGCGATTTCCCATGTTACGGCTTTGCAGTGACTGCATCGTCGTTCATAACTACTCGCGTCCAGCGCGGCAGAATCAGTTTCAAGCTCCCACGACACGGAGACTCGTTTGTTTGTTCTCCAAAGTTCGCTCACTTATTTTGAGATTTATCATAAGTTCATCTCGTCTCGACAACAGATTCCAATACAACGCGACTATCAGTTTCGACTCAACGAACTCCTACTGCTTACGAGGCCCTCACTCTCGTTGACACAACAAACGGCTCTACGTCTCACGCCTGTCAGAAAGCCTACGTCTGCTCGTAGTAGCGACCTCTGAAGACGCGGCGTAGGCTCAAGCTTAGACGCGCACACGTCAATTTGGATACGGGATTTCGAATTCAGGTTTGCGTCGATTTTCAATCACTGAAACTGCTAGTACCTCAGCCCGACTGGGGTCTTCGAATAGCCCTTCTCAAGTCTCCGAAAACTCGCTTATAGAATGGCAAGGCTCTCGACTGTCACGGCAACAGCAGCAGCTGCAGCAGCAGCAGCAGCGCGCGGTGGGCCTGATAACTCCCGCTTCCGCTACCGCGGCGTGCGGCAGCGCACGTGGGGGAAGTGGGTGGCGGAGATCCGCGAGCCGCGGCGCAAGGTGCGTCTGTGGCTCGGCTCCTTCGTCTCCGCGGAGCAAGCCGCGCACGCGTACGACCGCGCGGCGCGGAAGCTGTACGGCGCAGACGCCATGCTCAACTTCCCCGCTGCCCCCGCTCCTGCTCCCCCGCCTGCCCCCCCGCCTGCGCCGAACGGGAGATCGTGTCTCCCCCGCGTCAGCGCCGAGAACCTCGAATCGCCCGTCCCGAGCGCCGCGAGTGGCGGGAGACGAAGCGGCCCCGTCACGGTTCTTCCCTCGAGCAACACCCATCAGGCGGCGCATCCTCTAGCATCACCCATCGCCGCCCCCGATACAAGCACATCGTGGAGCTATCACCTCCGCAGCGGCCTCCGCGACAACGGCGAGAGTATCAGCTTCCCGAGGCTGTCAAATGTCCCCATTCCTGCCCCTACTCCCGCCCCTACTGCTGCTCCCAAAGCTACTCCCGCTCCCATTCCTACCGCTACTCCCACTGCTACTGCCATTTTCGGTGCAAGCACCAGCGGCGGCACCATCGGCGGCATCAGCGGCGGCTCCAGCGGTCTCCCCAGCAGCCCGTCGCCGTGGCTCGCGCGCTTCATGCTCGAAATCCAGGAGATGCGCAAACTCGCCGCGATTCGCGGCGGTCGCGCCGAGGGCTCGGGCTGTGGCCGTGAAATTGGCTCGCAGCGACCTAGCATCGGCGTTGCGTCGAATGTCGCGACGAATCAAGATCGGATATTTGGGGCGGCAAGCTGCCAGGCCCCTCATGGTGAGGCGCTGCTAACTCGTTCGCCACTTAATGGGTTCCCCTTCGCGGGGTCAAACGCGGGCGGGGCGGGATGCGCAAAGTCGGCCCTCGGGGAAGGGCTTTCGAGCCTTGAGAATCACGTCCTGTTCCCGTTCTTCCTTTCCCGGCAGCAGCAGCAGCAGCAGCAGCCGTTCTTCCTTTCCCAGCAGCAGCGAGTGGAAGAAGCCCACCAGAGGCGGCATGACGAGCAGATTCAGCAGCAGCAGCAACAATTGCAGCAGCAAAATCAGCAGCAGCTGAATTGGCGCCTACACCAGCAGTCCTCACCACATCATCATGCGTGTCAACCTGCACTGGAATCGCAGGCCTCCTCCCATTCCCCGTCCCCCTTCAGCCTGCTACCAGCTCTCCAGTCGCTTACGGCGAAGCTCCCTGGAACAACTCCGACAGCTGGTGCTTGGCTAGTCAGAGGACACGAGTAGCCAAGGTGCTCGGAACGATGCAGACGCTGCCGCCGTTCAGCCTGCCTGCTGCTGCTCCGATGGGAAAGCCCCTGTGCAGTCAGCCGCCCACCTTCCCTGCTGCTCCAGCTGCTGTGCAGGTGCCGGCATCAGACCCATCGGCACCGCACACGAATGCATCGCACCGGTCAACACCACAATCGACAGCACCGTCCCCACCGACAAGCTCGCTCCCAGCATTGAGCGACCCCCAGCAGATTCTCCTGGAGCATTACATGAAGCTGACTGAGCGCCACGTGGCAATGCAGGGGCGTGACTCTGCAGGCGTCCCTGCCACGTCACCACGCTTGGCGCAGGTGAAGACAGAAGAGGGATCAGGCATGTCAGTGCTACCTTTGGGAGAGTCCCTGACCGTACTGGATCAAAGGATTGAAGAAGTGCTGGAGGGCATGCATAGGGCAGGTGAGCAGTCCTGCTTGAGCCCAGGGAAACGGGGTCGATACGAGGAGGTCTGCGGTGCAGATGGGTCTGATGCTCTGCAGGGTGATGTGGGCGGCGGTTCTAGCATGAAACGTGTGTGCTTGCGAACAAAAAGAAGCGATGCGAAAGAGAACGAGGGTTCGGAAGGGTTGGACGGCAGCAGCAGCAACAGCAGCAAGGTTCTTGAAGAGAGTGGGAACGCTGGAGGGGTAAGCCCCATAAGCGATAGTTCTTCCGGGGATTGTGAGGCTGAGCTCGTCTCTCTGGATTCTGGTGCGACGGATTTCCAGCTGGAGGGGGGCGTTTGGGGTATGGAGGGGTTGGAAATGCTGCTTCCGGGACTTAGTGAGCAAGAGCTTGCGATAACAACTGAACCATGGGATATGTGGTGAATTCAGAGTATTCAAAGCGGTTTTATGCCATGTAAATACCTTGCAGATATTTATGTTGACGTCTTGTATTTTAGGGTCGTTATTTATATTTGTTTGTACTGCTTTATCTCAACCAGATTTCCAGCTCCCCAATATCAAACAGCAAACAACACAGCAGCAACACACTCTACCTCCCATTTGTTCAAATTGATCCCTCTCGACCCCTCTGTCTGCTCAATCAACTCTTCTCCACCCCTGTCCGTGCGTGTCGGTCCGTTTCCTTGAGATTCTCCTGAACATCTTGGGAAAATATTTTCCTTGAATGATCCGCAAGTCTCATGCATTTTCTGCATCGCAACGAAAGTCGTTCTTTTGGATTCCCCTTGTCATCGCCTGATATGGCATTCTTGCACGTTTTGCTATGAGGGGAAACTGGACTAGAATTTCCTCCTGCAAGGGAGACGGAGATCTGGAGTACGACTGAACACGTCGCGAGACACAAGTGGAAGGCTGAGGACGAGGAAGACGAATTGAACTGTTGTCGTCGTTGCTGGAAATTCGGATGGTACGCTGATCGCAACTGGTCGCAGAGTGAGTCGTCGTGGCGTCGCCGTTTCGTGGTCGTGACAGCATCGTGCTTTCGCAGCCGAATTATTCGCCGCCAATCAGGGGACACCTGCGATCGGCAGGGGATCAGATCGGCTAGGCGCGTCGCGAGGATTCGCGTGTTTCGATGGGGTTAGACGGGTTGAGGGATCGGGACGGTCCGGACGACCAGAGGTCGCATCTGTTGGACGAGCAGGGAGAAGTTGTTGACGGAGATGACGTTGACGTTGGCGGAGACGACGAGGAGGAGGAGACAGACGAACCGCAGACCATGCGGCTTTATGTGGAAGATCTGGTGACCAGCGCGACGGATCCCGCTAAAACCGGGCTCGTTGCTGACGTGGCAGGCAACGTGGACAGCGACGATGATGACGAGGATGACGACAAGGATTCGTTAGAAGACGGATACGCCAGGATCTGCTGGCTCGGATCGGAGGAACCTTTCGAGGAAAGAATCGAGGATCTCAAAATAATTGACCGTTGCTTCTTACACGGAGACGTCGTGGCGCGCGCGGACGATCCGCTGGGGCAAACCGGGACCGTGACAGCTGTCGAGCTCCTATTGGATCTCGAGCTCGCGTCGGGGGAGATTCTGAAAGACGTGGATTCCAGGCGGCTGGTTCCGATCCGATCCGTGAAACCCGGAGGTTTTGTCGTTTACCGCGACTGGGTGGGAAGGGTTGACGATATTATGGATAACCTCGTTTTGGTTTTCGACGACGGAGCGAAATGTCGGGTTACCAAAGTCAGTCCGGACGATTTGTATCCGGTCAGACCGTCGGCAACGGACGACGAGGAGAGCATTCTTTTTTGGCCCGGGCAGCGCGTGCAGGCAGCGTACTCGAGCATCTTCCGCCGCGCCCAATGGCTGAAGGGCACGTGGAAGCAGTCGCGCATGGAAGCCACGGTGGCAGTCGTCGAACCCGGAACGGCGCTTGTTCAGTGGATCACGGGGCGACAGCTCAGCAGCGGCGGCGGCGGAAGCGGCGGAGGCGGCGGGAGTGGTGGCGGGGATGAGGGTAGCAGGGACAGCGGGCGGGGTAGCAGCGCGGTTGAGGAGGAAGAGACTGCGGGGGATGGGGACGGGGGGAGGAACGGCAACGGCAGCAGCGGCAAGAAGGGAGGCGTGGGGAAAGGGGAAAAGAGTAGGGGGGGCGGGGGGGACGCGGGCGGGGCGAAGGGGCCTCCGCCAGACGAGGTAAGCGCGGCGGCAGTGCGGCCGCTGGTGTATTTTAACTATGCCAACTGGCAGGTGGGGGATCACTGCTTGCGCATTGATGACGGGGGGGGCGGGAAGGGTGAAATCGGGGGGAAGAGGGAAGGGGGCGGGGGAGGAGGAGGCGGAGTGGAAGCAGGGGGAGAGGGGGGAGGAGAAAGGGCAGTAGGAGGGGATGAGAAGATGGATGGGGAGAGGGAAGAGGAAGAGGGAGCGAGAGCGGGAGGGACAGGGGAGACGGATCCTCTTATTGACTCTGGTGGTGGTAGCACTGGCACAACCAACCACACCACCACCAGCAGCAGCGGCGGCAATACTGCTGGCAGCAGCAGGAGTAGTAACAGCAGCAGCCTGTTTTTCTGGCGTCGAGGCAGGGGCAAGAAGGCAAACTCCAAGAAGAAAAACCCTCACAAAACCCCCAAGGGCGTGGAGCGGGCGCCAATGGTGGTGCGCACGTGCACCCACGTGGACGTGACGTGGCAGGACGGGCGCGAGGAGAGGGGCATCGACGCGTGCGAGTTAATACCCGTGGAAAATTTGGGTGAACACGACTTTTGGCCCGAGGATTATGTGGTGGAGAAGCATGGGGATGAGGGGATGGGAGAGGGTGCGGGGATGGGAATGGGGAATGGGGGTGGAGAGGAAGCGGGAGGGGAAGGTGGGCTGGGGGTTGGGGATGGGGGAGGAAGGGGAGGGGGAGAGAGGGGGATGAGTGGCGCTGCAGCGGATCTAGTCGCTCTTCTGACCTCCGCTGCTGATGCTGTCGGTGTTCCTTCGTCTCCTCGTCCTGCTGTAGCCGCAGCAGTGGCGGCAGCAGCAGCGGCACAGACGCAGCAGCAGCAGCAGCAGCAGCAGATGCAGCAGCAGGTGCAGCATCAGCAGGGACAGCAGCAGCAGATGCAGCAACAGGGACAGCGGCAGCAGAGGCAGCAGCAGGGACAGCAGCAGCAGAGGCAGCAACAGGCACAACAGCTGCTACAGCTACAGTCGAAACCTCTTCCGCCCTTCCCGCTGCTGCCCTCCCACCCCCTGCTGTTCCCGCAGCACCCGCCGCTTCTGTTCCCGTGGCACCCTCCCCCCTCTCCGTTCTGGTGCGAGGGCCGTGGGGGCGAGTGGGGTACGTGAAAACGGTTGATTACAAGCAGCGCACTGCCATTGTCGCCTGGGCTAGGGCTGGGGGTGGCAGCAGGGGGGGAGATTCGGGGGAAAATGGGAAGGATGGGGATGGAGGGGCGGGGAGAATGGAGGGTGGCGGTGCGGCGGGGTGGGGTGGGGTGGTGGAGTTTCAGGAGGAGTTGGCTGCGGTGTATGAGTTGGCGGAGCATCCAGACTGGAACTTCAGGCTTGGGGATGTTGTTGTCAGGCTGGAAACAGGGTTGGGGGAGGCCAGGTGGGAGACAGGGAGGGAGGCAGAGGAAAGGGCAGGGAAGGAGGCAGGGAAGAGGAAGGGAGAGGAGAAGGAAGGAGCAGGAGCGAACCGGGTGGATGATAAGGGAGGGGAAAGTGGGAAGGGGGAGGAGGAGGAGCGAGGGGAAAGGAATGGTGGGACGGCTGCAGACAGAGAGGGGGAGGGAGGGGAACGGAAAGCGAAGGAGGGAGGAGAGGAGGGGAGTGAAATGAGAGAGGAAGACGTGGCAGAGAAAGAAGAGGAGGAGGAGGAGGAGGAGGAGGAAGAGGAGGAGGAAGAAGAGGAGGAGGAAGGGGAAGAGGAGGAGGAAGGGGAAGAGGAGGAGGGAGCAGGCGATTGGGAGGAGGCGGAGGAGGGAGAGGAGGGAGAGGAGGGGGGTGATGGAGATGCGGGTGGGGGGAGCGTGGATGCGTCATGGGTGGGCGAGATTGCTGCCATGCGCCATGGCCTTCTCACCGTCGCATGGGCTGATGGCTCCATGTCTCAGGTGCGTTCCTGCCACGTTGCTGCCATGTTGCTGCCATGTTGCTGCCACGTTGCTGCCATGTTGCTGCCATGCACCATGGGCTGCTCACCGTCGCATGGGCTGATGGCTCCATGTCTCAGGTGCGTCCCTGTGGTGCCATGCATGGCTTTACTGCCATGCACCATGTGACTGCCATGCACCATGCACCATGCACCATGCGCCATGGGCTGCTCACCGTCGCATGGGCTGATGGCTCCATCTCCCAGGTGCGTTGCTGCCGGTTACCATGCGCCATGTCACCATGCGCCATGTCACCATGCGCCATGTTACCATTTACTTTCCCAATTTCCTCGTCCAGTTGTCTTTGTTTCATAAGAACTTTCATATATCCATTGGCATACCATTCCGCACCTCCAGGTTCCCCCCACAGTTGTCCATGTGTTGTCTATGTGTTGTCTATGTGTTGAATCAGGTTCCATTTCACATGCACTACCATACCCATTCCGCACCTCCAGGTTCCCCCCACAGTTGTCTATGTTTTAAAACCGGAAGATGAAGAGGGCATGTACGGTGCTGATGGCGAGTATGAAGACGAAGAGGCTTATACGGAGGATGAGGAGGAGGACGGGTGGGAGACAGCGGATGAGGAAGAGGAGGAGGGAGAGGGGCAGCAGCACCAGCAGCAGGCGGGTACAGCCGGGGGAGGTATAACTGGGGGAGGAACAACTGGGGAAACAGACAGAAGAGCATTGGCATCATTGGCAGCGTTGGCAGGAGCAGCAGCAGCAGCAGCAGGAGCAACAGCTGAAGCAACAGCAGGAGGGGGAGGAGGAGCAGGGGGAGGGGATGACTTAGCAGCAAACTTGCAAGCATTGCAGAATGTGAAGAATGAGCTCGAAGCGTTTAGCAGAGGGCGCAACTGGTGGGGGGGCGGAAGAGGCGCAGGGGGGAGGAGAGGGGGAAGAGCCGGGGGAAAGGGACGGGAGGAAGGGGAAGAGGGGGAAGCGGAGGAGGAGGAAGAGGAGAAAGAAGAGGGAGAGGGGGAGGGGGCTGGAGAGGAGGGGAGTGGGAGTGGTGGGAGGAGGAGGAAACCCGGGTAGGAGGAGGAAAGCGGGGGGGGTGTTGGGGGATGCGGAGGGGGAGAGAAGCAGGGGGGCGGGCGGAAGTGGGGAATCCGCGCAGGGAATTGCGGGGACTGACCCAAGGGGAGGATTATCAGTTGTCCTCCCACGATTGGCTGCTGGGATGACATCTATTATCTCTTTGCTGCAGGAGATTGTGCCAAAGATCGAAAGGGGTGAGAGGACAGGGGGCGAGGATGCTGCGAGGGGTGGAAGGGAGGGAGGAGCGGAGGATGGGGGCGGAAGCAAGGGGGGAGAGGAGGAGGGGGGCGGAAGCAAGGGGGGAGAGGAGGGGGGGGCGGAAGCAAGGGGGGAGAGGAGGAGGGGGGCGGAAGCAAGGGGGGAGAGGAGGAGGGGGGCGGAAGAGAAGGGGGGAGAGGAGGAGGGAGAAGCGCAAGAGGGGGGTGGCAAGGGGAAGGGATTGCTGGAGCGAGAGGAGGAGGGAGAGAGGAAGCAGGAAGCAGATATACCACCAAGTGAATTGGTAGAGAAATTTTCAGAGGGGCCGTTGGGTTTGGGCGCAGGTGGGGGGCTGGGGCAGAGACGTAGGGTGGCTGCAGCAAGTGTGTCAGGTGGTTTGGAGGGGGATTTGGTAGGAGGGAGAGGTGGGGATGGATCTGGTTTGGCAGCTGGTGCTGAGGAGGGATCCTCTGCTGGTGCTAAGGATGAGAGTCAAGGGGAGGGGAGTGGAGGCGAAGGGGAGTTGGGGGTGCCTGGGGTTGGGGGTTCTGCTGGGATTGGTCTTGCTTCGCTGCTGGAGGGACGTGGAGGAGTGAAGGAGGGAGAGGAGAGCGGGGCAGGAGGGGAAGGGGAAGGACGGGATGAAGTGGGGGAGAGAGGAGGGAGGGAGAGGAGGGGCGAAGGAGAGGAGGCATGGTTGAAGAGGGAGGAGATGGAAAGGTTTGAGAAGTTAAATGAAATCATGGAGAGTTTGGGGGTCGGAGGCTTTGTAGTTGATAAACCAGAAGGGGAGGGCCGTGGTGAGGTGAAAGGGGAAGCAGAGGCAGATATGCCGCAGACAGAAGGCAAAGAAAGTGAGGTGGTGACAAGGGAAGAGACAGGGGGTGAGGAAGGGACAGGGGGTGAGGAAGGGAGAGGGGGTGAGGAAGGGACAGGGGGTGAGGAAGGGACAGGGGGTGAGGAAGGGACAGGGGGTGAGGAAGGGACAGGGGGTGAGGAAGGGAGAGGGGGAGAGATAAGGGGAGACACAGGGGAAGAGGGAGGGGCGGAGACGAGAGGAGAGGGCGCAGGAGAAGGGGCAGATGCAGGGAGAGAGGCAAGGGAAAGGGGAGGGGACGGGAAAGGGGAAGGAGCAGAGGAAGGGAATGGAGAGGAAGAAGGGGAAGGAGAAAGGGGAGGGAAAGAATCGGCAGTTTCAGCAGGGGCGGGGGCAGCAGGGACAGGGGCAGCAACGGCAGTGGCGGCGAGTGAGGGTGCATGGAGGCAGTTTGACAGTGTGACTGGCGCTGCTGACCATTACTATGCTTCCCAAACGTTCCAGGTATATGCCTCTTCAGCCTCCAGATGCTCCTGGTATGCTCCTGGTATGCTCCTGCTGGTGGTCTTGGTTGTGGTGGTGGTGGCTGTGGTGTGGCAGTGGTGGTGGTGCTGCTGCTGCTGCTGCTGCCGCCGCCGCCGCCGCCGCCGCCGCCGCCGCCGCCGCCGCCGCCGCCGCCGCCGCCGCCACCGCCGCCGCCGCCGCCACCGCCGCCTCCGCCGCCCCCGCCTCCGCCCTTGCATCTCTTGCAGTGCAGCCTTTTCGTGCCTTTCTCCCGTTTGTTGCCTCTTGTCTTCGTCACCTCTTGTCTTCGTCACCTCTTGTCTTCGTCACCTCTTGTCTTCGTCACCTCTTGTCTTCGTCACCTCTTGTCTTCGTCACCTCTTGCCTCCTCCTCCTCCCTTCACCCTCGCACCTCCTCCCATTCACCTCCTCTCATTCACCTATTGCAGCCGGGCAATCACAAGTGGACCATGGTTGTGCACAAGGATTGTTGTCGCATTTCTCCTTACCTCATGCCACCCCCTCCCATTCAACCCCTCTCGTTAACCCCTTGCAGCCCGGCAATTGCAAGTGGGCCAAGGCTGTGCACAAGGACTGGGAGATCCTCCAGACCAACCTGCCAGGTACAGAGGGTTTTCCGAACCAGCCTACCAGGCACAGAATATTTTCCGAACCAGCTTGCCCTCTCTACATGTCGCTCCCCGCCATGCATGTGTACACATGTGCCATTCTCCCCCCTCCTCTTCATGTGAAAGGTGTATTTTTGAGACGTCTCAAAAATACACTTTTCTCACGTGGCTTCTCTCCCACCTCCTCCTCCTCTCTACATGTCGCTCCCCGCCATGCATGTGCCACTCTCCCACCTCCTCCTCTTCCTCTCTACATGCGAACCGCATGGATCCGCTACGAGTGGCCCTTGCAAACCCACCACCTCTAGCTCCTCACACCCCTCTCCACCCCTTCCGACCCCTCTACACCCCTCTATGCACCTCCCCTTCAGACTCCATCTCTATCCGTGTGTACGAGGATCGCATGGATCTGCTACGAGTGGCCATAGCACGAGCTCCTGGCACGCTAACCCTCTGCCTGTGTACTGCTCCTCTCCACCCCTTAACAATCCCTTTCCACTGCTCTCCATCTCTCTACACCCCCCTCAAACCAGACTCCATCTCCGTGCGTGTGTACGAGGACCGCATGGATCTGCTGCGAGTGGCCATCGCAAACCCATCACCACTGAATTCCTTATATCCCTCTCCACCCCTCTCCACCCCTCCCAACCAGACTCCATCTCTGTGCGTGTGTACGAGGACCGCATGGATCTGCTGCGAGTGGCCATAGTGGGACCGCCGGACACCCCCTACCACCTCGGGCTCTTCTTCTTCGACATCTGGCTTCCCCCTGACTACCCTGCCGTGCCGCCAGTAAGTGTGTGTCTTGAAACACGCTACCATAAGCACCAGCCACACACCCAACAACCCCTACCACCTCGGGCTCTAGCACCAGCCACACACCCAACAACACCTACCACCTTGGCCTCTTGTTTTCTTCGACATCTGGCTCCCCCCCGACTACCCTGCTGTGCCTCCTGTGAGTAACGTGGCACCCTTGGAATCGCAGAATATATATTTTTTTCTATATTCACACGTATATATATGTATAAATATATATGTATATATACGCGTGTGTGTGTATATGCATACATATGTTTACGTGTGTATATATAACAACCGCTGCTCGCCCTCCCCTCCGTCTTCCTCTCCCCTCTCCCATTTACCAGTCCGTGCATTATCACTCAGGTGGCCTCAGGGTGAACCCGAACCTATACGAGAACGGCAAGGTGTGCCTATCGCTGCTCACCACGTGGTGTGTGCTATTTAACAACCCCTGCTCCCTCTCCCCTCCGCTTTTCCTCCCCCCTTCCCCTCTCCCAGTCTGTGCACTACCATTCAGGTGGCCTCAGGGTGAACCCAAACCTGTACGAGAACGGCAAGGTGTGCCTATCGCTGCTCAACACGTGGAGTGGCAAGGGCACGGAGGTCTGGAACCCAGGCTCCTCCATTCTGCAGGTACGCATGTGGAGGTATGGGTGTGTGGCGGTGGTGTGGGGTGGTGAAGGGTGTAGCAGTAACCAGAGGGTGGCAGTGTTGTGGTAGTCACTCAGTGGTTCAATTGAAAGCAGGGTGTGTCTATCGCTGCTCAGCACATGGAGTGGCAAGGGCACAGAGTCGCAACCCAGGCTCGTCCATTCTGCAGGTGTAGCAGTGGTGTGGGGGCGGTGTGGCAATAACACGAGGGTGGTAAAGGCTTGGTTAAGTCACTCAGTGGTCCAATTGAAAGTAAAGGTGTGCCTATCGCTGCGCAACCCGTGGAGTGGCAAGGGCACGGAGGTCTGAAATCCAGGCTCATCCATTCTGTCGTTCTTGACTTTTGAGTCGACTCAAAAGTCAGCTCGGAGGTCTGGAACCCAGGCTCATCCATTCTGTCGTTCTTGAATGAACTCAACACGTGGAGTGGCATGGGCATCGAAGTCTAGAACCCAGGCTCGTCAATTTTACAGGTATGCGTGCGTGTGTGGGAGTGCGGAGTGGTGTGGCAGGGGTGTGGCAGTTTCAAGATTGCAGTAGTGCAATGGTAAGTTACCCCATCCGTGGTTTTACTGAAAGAAGGGTGTGTCTATCATAGCTCAACACATGGAGTGGGTGCTACACGTATAAGTGCGCGTGGCTGCACATTGGAGCACCAATGGGTGTTCGCTCGATTTTTGAGTTGAATCAAAAATCGACTAACTACACATGGAGTGGGTGCTACACGTATTAGTGCGCGTGACTGCACTGCACCAATGGGTGTTTGCTCGTGTCCCTTCAAGGCCTTGTGCTCATGCCTGTGCAGGGGTGGGCCATTGCATGCAGTTTTTGACACTGTCCCAAAACTCGTAACTCCTTGTCCCCTGCCCCCTGCCCCCTGCCCCCTGCCCCCTGCCCCCTGCCCCCTGCCCCCTGCCCCCTGCCCCCTGCTCCCTGCTCCCTCCGCCCCTGTCTTTGCACGTCCCCTCCCTCCCAGGTGCTCATGCCTGTGCAGGGGTGCGTCCGTGCACGCAGTATTGACACTGTTTCAGAACTCCTAACTCCTTGTCTGCTCTCTGTTCCTGCTCCTCTATCCACTCCCCCCCACCAGGCGCTCCTGTCGATCCAAGGCCTTGTCCTTGTGCCATCAGTCTGTTCCCTGCTCTCCTCTTCGCATATCTCCCCCCATCCCAGAGGAGGAGAGGAATGTTGTTGCCCAATTGTCTGTTCTGTGCTGCCCTGTCGTGACATCTCTCTCACCCTCCCCCCAGGTCCTTGTGTCAATCCAAGGCCTTGTGCTCGTGCCACGGCCGTATTTCAACGAGGCGGGGTATGAGAGGCAGAGGGGCAGCGCAGAGGGGGAGAGGAACGCAGATCTCTATAACGAAAGCGCCTTCCTTCTGTCGGCGAAAACCATGATCTACTCCATCCGCAACCCGCCCAAGGTATGGGCTGACATGGGGGGGACTACTGTGTTGGTTGAGTGGTATTTTAGCGAGGCGGGGTATGAGAGGCAGACGGGCAGCGCGGAGGGGGAGAGGAACGCACACCTTTGCAATGAGGTCGTTTTTGAGGCGCCTCACCTCAATGCAGCGCGGAGGGGGAGAGGAACGCACACCTTTGCTTTGAGACGTCTCAAAACACACCTTTGCAATGAAAGCGCGTTTCTGTTATCAGCCAAAACCATGATCTACTCCGTCCGTAACCCTCCCAAGGTAAGGTACGCTCTGATGTGGTTGAGACTGCTTCAAGGCCTCTTCACTATACTCAATACCCTGTCGCCATCCTTGCGTTGTTTGCCACATACTCACAAGGAAAGAGAGTGTGCGGAATCAGAATTGTCTGTTCCTTCCATTTTCCCCGACTCCCCCCATCCCCTTGTCAGCATTTGGGCCCACTGCAGGCGCTGCGCTAGACGCAGCACGGGGATGCCATCCTCACTTTGTGCGAGACGCTATACCCCTCTTTTGGCACTGCATTAAGCGAGACGCTATACCCCTCTTTTGGCACTGCATTAAGCGAGACGCTATACCCCTCTTTTGGCACTGCATTAAGCGAGATGCTATACCCCTCTTTTGGCACTGCATTAAGCGAGACGCTATACCCCTCTTTTGGCACTGCATTAAGCGAGACGCTGTACCCCTCTTTTGGCACTGCATTAAGTGAGACCCTATACCCCTCTTTTGGCACTGCATTAAGCGAGACGCTATACGCAACAGTCAGCTAGACGCTATACGCAACAGTCAGCGAGACGCTATACGCAACAGTCAGCGAGACGCTATACGCAACAGTCAGCGAGACGCTATACGCAACAGTCAGCGAGACGCTATACGCAACAGTCAGCGAGACGCTATACGCAACAGTCAGCGAGACGCTATACGCAACAGTCAGCGAGACGCTATACGCAACAGTCAGCTAGACGCTATACGCAACAGTCAGCGAGACGCTATACGCAACAGTCAGCTAGACGCTATACGCAACAGTCAGCGAGACGCTATACGCAACAGTCAGCTAGACGCTATACGCAACAGTCAGCTAGACGCTATACGCAACAGTCAGCGAGACGCTATACGCAACAGTCAGCTAGACGCTATACGCAACAGTCAGCGAGACGCTATACGCAACAGTCAGCTAGACGCTATACGCAACAGTCAGCGAGACGCTATACGCAACAGTCAGCGAGACGCTATACGCAACAGTCAGCGAGACGCTATACGCAACAGTCAGCTAGACGCTATACGCAACAGTCAGCTAGACGCTATACGCAACAGTCAGCTAGACGCTATACGCAACAGTCAGCTAGACGCTATACGCAACAGTCAGCTAGACGCTATACGCAACAGTCAGCTAGACGCTATACGCAACAGTCAGCGAGACGCTATACGCAACAGTCAGCGAGACGCTATACGCAACAGTCAGCGAGACGCTATACGCAACAGTCAGCTAGACGCTATACGCAACAGTCAGCTAGACGCTATACGCAACAGTCAGCTAGACGCTATACGCAACAGTCAGCTAGACGCTATACGCAACAGTCAGCGAGACGCTATACGCAACAGTCAGCTAGACGCTATACGCAACAGTCAGCGAGACGCTATACGCAACAGTCAGCTAGACGCTATACGCAACAGTCAGCTAGACGCTATACGCAACAGTCAGCGAGACGCTATACGCAACAGTCAGCTAGACGCTATACGCAACAGTCAGCGAGACGCTATACGCAACAGTCAGCTAGACGCTATACGCAACAGTCAGCTAGACGCTATACGCAACAGTCAGCTAGACGCTATACGCAACAGTCAGCGAGACGCTATACGCAACAGTCAGCTAGACGCTATACGCAACAGTCAGCGAGACGCTATACGCAACAGTCAGCTAGACGCTATACGCAACAGTCAGCTAGACGCTATACGCAACAGTCAGCTAGACGCTATACGCAACAGTCAGCTAGACGCTATACGCAACAGTCAGCGAGACGCTATACGCAACAGTCAGCGAGACGCTATACGCAACAGTCAGCGAGACGCTATACGCAACAGTCAGCTAGACGCTATACGCAACAGTCAGCTAGACGCTATACGCAACAGTCAGCTAGACGCTATACGCAACAGTCAGCTAGACGCTATACGCAACAGTCAGCGAGACGCTATACGCAACAGTCAGCTAGACGCTATACGCAACAGTCAGCGAGACGCTATACGCAACAGTCAGCTAGACGCTATACGCAACAGTCAGCTAGACGCTATACGCAACAGTCAGCTAGACGCTATACGCAACAGTCAGCGAGACGCTATACGCAACAGTCAGCTAGACGCTATACGCAACAGTCAGCGAGACGCTATACGCAACAGTCAGCGAGACGCTATACGCAACAGTCAGCTAGACGCTATACGCAACAGTCAGCGAGACGCTATACGCAACAGTCAGCTAGACGCTATACGCAACAGTCAGCTAGACGCTATACGCAACAGTCAGCGAGACGCTATACGCAACAGTCAGCTAGACGCTATACGCAACAGTCAGCTAGACGCTATACGCAACAGTCAGCGAGACGCTATACGCAACAGTCAGCTAGACGCTATACGCAACAGTCAGCGAGACGCTATACGCAACAGTCAGCGAGACGCTATACGCAACAGTCAGCGAGACGCTATACGCAACAGTCAGCTAGACGCTATACGCAACAGTCAGCTAGACGCTATACGCAACAGTCAGCTAGACGCTATACGCAACAGTCAGCGAGACGCTATACGCAACAGTCAGCTAGACGCTATACGCAACAGTCAGCTAGACGCTATACGCAACAGTCAGCGAGACGCTATACGCAACAGTCAGCGAGACGCTATACGCAACAGTCAGCGAGACGCTATACGCAACAGTCAGCTAGACGCTATACGCAACAGTCAGCTAGACGCTATACGCAACAGTCAGCTAGACGCTATACGCAACAGTCAGCGAGACGCTATACGCAACAGTCAGCTAGACGCTATACGCAACAGTCAGCGAGACGCTATACGCAACAGTCAGCTAGACGCTATACGCAACAGTCAGCGAGACGCTATACGCAACAGTCAGCGAGACGCTATACGCAACAGTCAGCGAGACGCTATACGCAACAGTCAGCTAGACGCTATACGCAACAGTCAGCTAGACGCTATACGCAACAGTCAGCTAGACGCTATACGCAACAGTCAGCGAGACGCTATACGCAACAGTCAGCTAGACGCTATACGCAACAGTCAGCGAGACGCTATACGCAACAGTCAGCGAGACGCTATACGCAACAGTCAGCTAGACGCTATACGCAACAGTCAGCTAGACGCTATACGCAACAGTCAGCTAGACGCTATACGCAACAGTCAGCTAGACGCTATACGCAACAGTCAGCTAGACGCTATACGCAACAGTCAGCTAGACGCTATACGCAACAGTCAGCGAGACGCTATACGCAACAGTCAGCGAGACGCTATACGCAACAGTCAGCGAGACGCTATACGCAACAGTCAGCTAGACGCTATACGCAACAGTCAGCTAGACGCTATACGCAACAGTCAGCTAGACGCTATACGCAACAGTCAGCTAGACGCTATACGCAACAGTCAGCGAGACGCTATACGCAACAGTCAGCTAGACGCTATACGCAACAGTCAGCGAGACGCTATACGCAACAGTCAGCTAGACGCTATACGCAACAGTCAGCTAGACGCTATACGCAACAGTCAGCTAGACGCTATACGCAACAGTCAGCGAGACGCTATACGCAACAGTCAGCGAGACGCTATACGCAACAGTCAGCGAGACGCTATACGCAACAGTCAGCTAGACGCTATACGCAACAGTCAGCGAGACGCTATACGCAACAGTCAGCTAGACGCTATACGCAACAGTCAGCTAGACGCTATACGCAACAGTCAGCTAGACGCTATACGCAACAGTCAGCGAGACGCTATACGCAACAGTCAGCTAGACGCTATACGCAACAGTCAGCTAGACGCTATACGCAACAGTCAGCGAGACGCTATACGCAACAGTCAGCTAGACGCTATACGCAACAGTCAGCGAGACGCTATACGCAACAGTCAGCGAGACGCTATACGCAACAGTCAGCGAGACGCTATACGCAACAGTCAGCTAGACGCTATACGCAACAGTCAGCTAGACGCTATACGCAACAGTCAGCTAGACGCTATACGCAACAGTCAGCGAGACGCTATACGCAACAGTCAGCTAGACGCTATACGCAACAGTCAGCGAGACGCTATACGCAACAGTCAGCTAGACGCTATACGCAACAGTCAGCTAGACGCTATACGCAACAGTCAGCTAGACGCTATACGCAACAGTCAGCTAGACGCTATACGCAACAGTCAGCGAGACGCTATACGCAACAGTCAGCTAGACGCTATACGCAACAGTCAGCGAGACGCTATACGCAACAGTCAGCGAGACGCTATACGCAACAGTCAGCTAGACGCTATACGCAACAGTCAGCGAGACGCTATACGCAACAGTCAGCTAGACGCTATACGCAACAGTCAGCGAGACGCTATACGCAACAGTCAGCGAGACGCTATACGCAACAGTCAGCGAGACGCTATACGCAACAGTCAGCTAGACGCTATACGCAACAGTCAGCTAGACGCTATACGCAACAGTCAGCTAGACGCTATACGCAACAGTCAGCTAGACGCTATACGCAACAGTCAGCTAGACGCTATACGCAACAGTCAGCTAGACGCTATACGCAACAGTCAGCGAGACGCTATACGCAACAGTCAGCGAGACGCTATACGCAACAGTCAGCGAGACGCTATACGCAACAGTCAGCTAGACGCTATACGCAACAGTCAGCTAGACGCTATACGCAACAGTCAGCTAGACGCTATACGCAACAGTCAGCTAGACGCTATACGCAACAGTCAGCGAGACGCTATACGCAACAGTCAGCTAGACGCTATACGCAACAGTCAGCGAGACGCTATACGCAACAGTCAGCTAGACGCTATACGCAACAGTCAGCTAGACGCTATACGCAACAGTCAGCTAGACGCTATACGCAACAGTCAGCGAGACGCTATACGCAACAGTCAGCTAGACGCTATACGCAACAGTCAGCGAGACGCTATACGCAACAGTCAGCTAGACGCTATACGCAACAGTCAGCTAGACGCTATACGCAACAGTCAGCTAGACGCTATACGCAACAGTCAGCTAGACGCTATACGCAACAGTCAGCTAGACGCTATACGCAACAGTCAGCTAGACGCTATACGCAACAGTCAGCTAGACGCTATACGCAACAGTCAGCGAGACGCTATACGCAACAGTCAGCGAGACGCTATACGCAACAGTCAGCGAGACGCTATACGCAACAGTCAGCTAGACGCTATACGCAACAGTCAGCTAGACGCTATACGCAACAGTCAGCTAGACGCTATACGCAACAGTCAGCGAGACGCTATACGCAACAGTCAGCGAGACGCTATACGCAACAGTCAGCTAGACGCTATACGCAACAGTCAGCGAGACGCTATACGCAACAGTCAGCTAGACGCTATACGCAACAGTCAGCTAGACGCTATACGCAACAGTCAGCGAGACGCTATACGCAACAGTCAGCTAGACGCTATACGCAACAGTCAGCTAGACGCTATACGCAACAGTCAGCGAGACGCTATACGCAACAGTCAGCTAGACGCTATACGCAACAGTCAGCGAGACGCTATACGCAACAGTCAGCGAGACGCTATACGCAACAGTCAGCGAGACGCTATACGCAACAGTCAGCTAGACGCTATACGCAACAGTCAGCTAGACGCTATACGCAACAGTCAGCTAGACGCTATACGCAACAGTCAGCGAGACGCTATACGCAACAGTCAGCTAGACGCTATACGCAACAGTCAGCGAGACGCTATACGCAACAGTCAGCTAGACGCTATACGCAACAGTCAGCTAGACGCTATACGCAACAGTCAGCTAGACGCTATACGCAACAGTCAGCTAGACGCTATACGCAACAGTCAGCTAGACGCTATACGCAACAGTCAGCTAGACGCTATACGCAACAGTCAGCTAGACGCTATACGCAACAGTCAGCGAGACGCTATACGCAACAGTCAGCGAGACGCTATACGCAACAGTCAGCGAGACGCTATACGCAACAGTCAGCTAGACGCTATACGCAACAGTCAGCTAGACGCTATACGCAACAGTCAGCTAGACGCTATACGCAACAGTCAGCTAGACGCTATACGCAACAGTCAGCTAGACGCTATACGCAACAGTCAGCTAGACGCTATACGCAACAGTCAGCGAGACGCTATACGCAACAGTCAGCGAGACGCTATACGCAACAGTCAGCGAGACGCTATACGCAACAGTCAGCTAGACGCTATACGCAACAGTCAGCTAGACGCTATACGCAACAGTCAGCTAGACGCTATACGCAACAGTCAGCGAGACGCTATACGCAACAGTCAGCGAGACGCTATACGCAACAGTCAGCTAGACGCTATACGCAACAGTCAGCGAGACGCTATACGCAACAGTCAGCTAGACGCTATACGCAACAGTCAGCTAGACGCTATACGCAACAGTCAGCGAGACGCTATACGCAACAGTCAGCTAGACGCTATACGCAACAGTCAGCTAGACGCTATACGCAACAGTCAGCGAGACGCTATACGCAACAGTCAGCTAGACGCTATACGCAACAGTCAGCGAGACGCTATACGCAACAGTCAGCGAGACGCTATACGCAACAGTCAGCGAGACGCTATACGCAACAGTCAGCTAGACGCTATACGCAACAGTCAGCTAGACGCTATACGCAACAGTCAGCTAGACGCTATACGCAACAGTCAGCGAGACGCTATACGCAACAGTCAGCTAGACGCTATACGCAACAGTCAGCGAGACGCTATACGCAACAGTCAGCTAGACGCTATACGCAACAGTCAGCTAGACGCTATACGCAACAGTCAGCTAGACGCTATACGCAACAGTCAGCTAGACGCTATACGCAACAGTCAGCTAGACGCTATACGCAACAGTCAGCTAGACGCTATACGCAACAGTCAGCTAGACGCTATACGCAACAGTCAGCGAGACGCTATACGCAACAGTCAGCGAGACGCTATACGCAACAGTCAGCGAGACGCTATACGCAACAGTCAGCTAGACGCTATACGCAACAGTCAGCTAGACGCTATACGCAACAGTCAGCTAGACGCTATACGCAACAGTCAGCGAGACGCTATACGCAACAGTCAGCTAGACGCTATACGCAACAGTCAGCTAGACGCTATACGCAACAGTCAGCGAGACGCTATACGCAACAGTCAGCGAGACGCTATACGCAACAGTCAGCGAGACGCTATACGCAACAGTCAGCTAGACGCTATACGCAACAGTCAGCTAGACGCTATACGCAACAGTCAGCGAGACGCTATACGCAACAGTCAGCTAGACGCTATACGCACAAGAGACTAGAGCGTGTGAAATCAGTGCTGACTCTTCCCTCCATTTTCCCCAAGTCCACTTTCCCTCCCCTCACATCAGCACTTTGCACCCCACTTTTGGCACTGCATTTCACCCTCCCTTTTCCCCGACTCCCCTTCCCCTCCCCTCACATCAGCACTTTGCGCCTCAAGTGGCGCTGCATTTCTGGCAGCATGCCGCCGCAATTCTAGCTCTCTGCGACACATATGCCCAAGGGGCCAAGGTGTGCCCACTCAAGGCTGCTAGCAAGTCAAACCCTGCCACAGCCACAGAAACAACAAGTTCTGTTCCCTCCCCCCCCCCCCCTCTTCCCCCCCTCCCCCTCACACCAGCACTTTGAGCCCCTGGTGGCGCTGCATTTCAAGCAGCGTGCTGCTGCCATTATTGCTCTGTGCGATACCTACGCCCAAGGGGCCAAGGTGTGTCCACTCAAGGCTGCTAGCACCGCAAGCCCGGCCACAGCCAAAGACGCAAGCCCAACTACTCAGGACAACTCAGCTGCTAAGGTCAACACAAGCCGACCCGAGTCTGGCAGCACGAGTGGTTCTGAGGGGATTCAGCAGCAGGAGGGGTCGCTGGGACAGCAGGGAGCTGCTAGGCCGGCGGATGCGGTGCAGAGCGGTGGTGGAGGTGACGATGGGTGTTCGGCTGGGTTCAAGATAATGCTGGGGAAGCTACGACCACAGCTGGAACTAGCCTTGGCACGGGTTTTAAAGGGATGATATGCATTTCTGCAAAGGCTACAAGGTTGACTTGGATGGTGTTACTGTACGATATGTTCTGTTCTGTGTGATACCTGGGACCATCACTAATGCATTATTTTTGGTGGGGAAATCAGTTGTTATCGCACAGTAAATGAACGCCTGTATTTACCACCCACTTGTGTGTACAGTCAGAAAGTGATGTGAGAAGCGGATGTCTGCTTGTCTGGCACCCTCATTTGTCTGGTACCAATGGTGTAACCTGAACATACAATACGATATAACATGTGTTTGGATTGTGTGTACATAAAGGAAAATTTCAGGGGATCAGTTAGAGACTAACCCAACCCATTTGGCAAAGCAGATACAGCATCTCTAAGGGTAGTGGGAGAGAGTTGGTACCGTAAAATTGCAAAAAAGAGCCACCTAGTGGGGGATGAAAGGGAAAAAATGCAAGGGAAAACCCCAACAGCACCCTGGGGGCAAGTGACTGACTACTTTCATTCCACGTCTCGCTCTGCGCCCAAAAAGAATACTGCTCTGCTTCACCAGCGATTGCCCTTCGCCTTTGGCTCAAGGCACACTTCTGCAGAGCGAGCAGGTCAGCTCCACACTGTCAGTCTAGGGTTTCTCCTGTGAAGCCGCGGCTCATTTTGTGTAAGGAGCTGTGCAAGACGTCCTGAGAAAGCCAGCCTGCGAGGCGAGAGAAACTGGAGACGCGTAACATGGTAACTTATTAGAAAGATCTATTACCGTAGCAGGCCCAGACACAGCTGCAACTGCTGCTCCGTCTAGCCCAAGCTACTGCTACAAAACACCTAGCTGCTGCCTCCACTCACAGCCGTTATCTCAGCCAGGACGGTTGATGGGGAAGAGGTGTCTCTAGCCGAAACCCACCTGCTCCACCTGCCAGTCAAACCCATCGAGTGCATGCTGTGAAAATGACTGAGGGGTTTAGGGTTCTGGACCACCAGAAAGACTTAAAAGCCGTTTCATAGCAAAGGGCTTGCATTGTCGCCTGTCGTCGCCAAAGAGGTTCAGACATTTCAAACTACTGCTGCTGTCATTGCGACATTCACCCCTCCAGAAATCGAGAGCCACAAAACCCAGTCTCCTGCTTGCACCCGAGCCTGGTGCGACCTGCCATAACCTACACAGCTTCTTCCTTGAGGAACGAGGCAGCAGCTGCCATGGCTTCTGCGGAACAAAATAGCCCAGCAGGATAGTCCGTCAGCGATAGAATACCCTCGTCATCGCCATCACCATCAACACCAGCAGCAGCATTGATGATGTCAGCATCAGCTAGAGCAGCAGAAGCGACTGGTGCGCCATCCGCGCCGGCAGCAGCAGCAGAGACAACAATCGCACCACCACCAGCACCAGCAGCAGCAGCAGCAGCGGCGGCAGTGGAGGCGGGCATGCGGATGCCCTGGCGGTTGAGCTCGTCTAAAACGCCGTCCAGCGACGGAGGCTTGAGACCCAGCGGCAGCGGCGTGGCGGGGTTGGTGAGCGCCTCACTGATCGCCGCGTCGAGAATGTCGTTCGCCTGGGAGAGGGGAAGGAGGGGAGCAGGGGGAAGGAGGAGGGGAGAAAGGGGGAAGCGGAAGGGGGTGGGGGGGGAAGTAATTGTTACATGAGTCGACTGACAACAGTGGGTATGAGACCTTTAGATGCTTGAAGCCCAGAGGCAGCGGTGAGTATGAGTAGGGGTTCGAGAGGGCATTGCTGATAGCTGAAACAAGGATGACGTAGGCGTGGGAATGGGAGAGACAACATTCGACACATGCCCCCGCCTCCCCCCCCTCTTCCCCCACCCCCCCCCCTCAACTCCCCCCACCCAACCCCCCCCTCCTCTCCCCCCACCCCCCTCGCAGCACAAGACAATGTGACTACTGACATTCCATGCTCACACTCAAATATGCATCTCCAGCTCACCTCGTGCAGGTCGTCGCCAATGCTGGCGGAAATCGCAGCAAGGTCCACCGTCAGATCATCCGAGAGCGGAAACATCGGATTCGGCATCGCCTCGTCCGCCACATGCGCCGCATCACCCGGCCCCCCGTCAACCCCGCCTCCTCCTCCCGCTCCGCCCGCCGCTCCAGAGAGCATTCCCCCCATGCCCCACCCGTGCCCCGGGGAGGGGCCAAACCCGGGCGCGTGCGGGAGGCCAGGCATCATGGGCATGCCGAGGAAGGGAGGCGGCGGCATCATGGCAGGGCTCCCGTTCGCGTGGCTTCCGGAGGGCGGCGCGGCGTTATGCGGATAGCCGTTGGGCGGCATGCCGTTAGGGGGACAAACAGGCGCGCCGCAGACCATGCCTAAAGGACCGTTGGCAGCGCCGTTGGGGGGGCCGTTGGGCGGCATAGGGTAGCTGAGCGGATGCTGGTGCTGGCGCGGGGGGAAGCATGGCATTCCGCGCGCTGGCATGCCGGGATGGGGCCACGCGTCCATTGGGGAGGGCCCGCGGGAAACTGCAGAGGGGAGGGGAGTGGCGCAGGGGCGAAGGAAAGGGAAGGGTGGGGGTGGGGGTGTGGGGGGAGAGAGGGAGGGGGGGGGGGCAGGAAAGAGAGTAAGCAGCGGAAGTGGCAACAGGGGTGGGGGTGGATGTGTGGGGGGAGAAGAGGGGGGCCAGGAACGAGAATAGCAGCAGAACTGGCAACAAGCTTGTTCGGCGAAATTGCGGAGAGGGAAGAGAAACGGATAGGAACAAGGAGACGAGATGCAGTTTGAAGAGGGAGGAAGCGGGAAGGAGGGGAGTGGGATGGGGAGGGGAGGGGATTGGGGCGCGCCGGATGGAATGACGTGCAAATTGCGAATACGAGTCGTGAGGACGAGGTTGAAACGTTAATCGTACCGCGGGGTAGTGGTGCCACGGGGAGGAACCATCAATGGCAAGCCACGAGGGAGGCGGGTACGCCGCCACGCGCGGCTGCTGCTGCTGCGGCTGCTGCTGCGCCTGACACTGCGGCTGCTGCTGCTGCTGTTGCTGCTGCAGCATATGTCCCCACATGTGCGGCCGCGGAAAACCGCCCGGCGACGCTCCCCCCGTCGTTGGATGGCCCCATACGGGCATGCCCATGGCCGGCGGCGGGTGCGGCATCATCGGGCTCGTGCCAGGCGACGATTGATGCGGATGCATCATCGGCATGTTGCCGTACGGCTGAGGGCGGAACGGCATAGGCGGGCACGGCGGCATCATGCCGGGCATTTGGCGAGGCGGCATCATGGCAGCAGGGTGACCAGTCGGAACGCCATGCGAAACGCTCCCGGGAACGCCACTCGGAACCCCACTTGCTACCGCATTCGCCGGACTACCACCACCGTTAACGGCCGCGCCCGCAGCGGGGGCTCCGGAACCCCACGTGGATCCCGATGCTCCAGGCGTTCCCGCCGGAGCAGCAGCAGCGCCACCACCAGCCGGCCAGGCACCGGCAGAAGCGCCGGAATCGGCGGGTGTGCGGTTGGTGTGCCAGTTGGCGGCTTCCGCGTCCCGCGCGGCGAGATGGCGGCGGTGCGACCGGTACTTTTGGAGATGGCTGGCGATGTTGTGGCGAGTGAGCGACTTGACGCCCATGAGCTCGAGAATACGGGAAGGAATGGCATTGTCGACTCCTAGCTGCTCCACCGCTTGCACGAACCTTCTGTGAAGCTCCGGCGTCCAATCCACCTGAATGTGGGACAGAGGCGATGCGATTGGGGGGATACGGAACGATGGCATCGAGGGAGAATGAGTTGTAATGTTCTGACGGAATGCGAAAATCATAGTGGACAAATCGGCGACACACAAATTAGCCGACGTTGATCGATCAATGTCAAGAAGAACAAAGCACATCAGACACATGAAGGTGACCACGCCTCACGTTACAAAGCCAGGAATTTGACTGACCTTGGGCTTTTTCTTCTGCGCTGGACTCTTGCTGGTGTCCTTAGAAGTCATGTCGCTATGCTCATTCAGGTGCGAATCTGATTGAAACGTCTCCGTCGGTCGAACATCCTCAGTAACAGCAGGTTCACGTTTCACCTCAGTCGCCTCGCCAGACGGCTTGTCCAGAAGCGTCTCCTCAGGATCGGGTAACATCAAGTTACCCAAGTTACCCGGTACGTCAAGATCGTCGATTTCGCCGGCTCCTAGATGATCGACGGAGAAATCAGGCCACGTGGAGATATCGCATCCGTCCAACATTTCCGGACTGACTTCACAGGCATTTCCGATCCCAGCCCTGCCTTGAAGCGTATGATCAACTGCGATGTCTTTCGCGGAAGCTCCGTCTGATTCAACGGCTCCTACGGGACGCTCTTCGACCAAGCAGGAGCTCATTGATCCTGCTTCCGTACCCTTGCTGCCATCCCCTTGAGAAGCCGTATCAGCTTCAACTGCCAGGGTTGCCTCGGCGACGTTCGACGATCGTCGAGCTTTTGCCTTGAGGTCAACCTTACTCCCATTCTTTTTCGTCAAAACGGGATGCTTCTTCGCGATCGCGGTTTCGCGAACACCCAGGTAAGCACCGTAGTCGGCGCTGGATCGTTCCCTGAGAGCGTTGCCAGGAGGTGACTGGCAGACGTCCTTGTCAACGTCAGTGGCTCCCATCTGACTGGTCCTGGCATTCAACAGACAGGCCATTGTTCTGGTTGCTTCTGACGTGACAATGATACCTTGTCGACCAGGAAGTACTGTAGCGCGACAACGATAACGTTATAGATAGCAACTTGAGAATATGGTGCAGTGAGGAAACGAGTACTTCGGACTGCGAAAAGCAGAGATGACTGCAAACCCTCGGTTAGGTAGAGGTATAAAATTGGAGTCGTTCAATTCCCCATCCACAATTGCTAATATGATAGATATAACGCTACAGAGAGCTGTAGCAAAAACGTCCACTGATGTCGGATGTTACTGATCGAACAATCCCGCAGGACTGATAGTTGCTAGAGTGAAGCAAATGCAAAAAAGAAAGGAGTGAGACACATCAGTGTGCTGATACTAAGAGGGAGAAACAGCTAAAATCTCTACAGAACAAGTGGGA